ATATGAATAATGATTTTAAATTAAGCAAGTAGAATAACCAATATTATAGTATTATTTATTAATCATATAGATGCCTATAATGATAAAAAATAATAACTAAGAGATATTTAGAGTTAGGAGGTGTGCAATGAAAAATAAATTTATCAATCTCACAGGATTAAACTTGAAGTATATGATTGCAATATTTTTAGTAAGTTTTTAAGTTATGATATACTTGTATACTTCATCCGTTTAAAAATGTAATACATTTTTAATTAAATTTTATCTTTAATAAAGTAGTTATTTGTCTTCAAATTAATTTTATATTTTCATATTTATTCTTATTTAATGAGGTATTTTATCATAAAATAAATATAAAGTGATTTATTTAACAGGGTTACTTTAAAAAAATAATAATTACACTTTAAAAGACTAAAAATATATTAAACTTTTAATATCAAACCCTTCAAAAAATGCCTTATATTTTTAAATGCATGGAGTTTATTAATAATAAATTTGCTACCTCATGCATATTAAGAATATCGACAATAACTTATTTTGTTTCTAGGTATACTATTTTATAATTCATTACTCCTATGTATATGAAAAACGTAATAAACAATTCGTTATACATCATATGATGTGTTATTTTCACATAAATTAAAATTTAAATGATAATTTTTTTACTTTAAATTTTTTAATTTTGAAATAAAATTATATTTTATAAGTTAAATTTTAAAATTTACGTATTATTGTATATATATTAAAATTTAAATAACTGGTTATATTTTAAATTTTTCCTGCATACATGTTGAAAACATGAACAACATCCCCTGTATATTAAAAAAATTGTATTTAAATGATATAAAATAATATCTATAAATTTCAGTGAACTTTTCTTTTTTTAATATTTTTTCATTTTATTTTTTATAGAAAAATATAAAATTTTTTCTTTCTTCCTTAAAAAGCCAAACTTCACATAAATTTACTTTAAATCATGAACAATTATATATAAAAATATGTTACTAATGTATATTAAAAATACAAAAAATAATTTATTATTTCTATATGCGTTATTCTCATGTAAATTAAAATTTAAACAATAAAACATATTATATTATAATTTTTTTTAACTTTATATTTTATTGTACAATTTATTATCTTATATCCATACAAAATACAAACAACAAATAATATATCTCATACCTATAATTTTAACTATTAATCTTATATTTGCTATTATTATTATTTTTATCATGAACCCCACATTTATTTATTTTTTACTATAAGGCCCACATGATATTTTAACATACAAAATATTTCTTTTAACAAAATTGTTACAATTCACTTGAGTGTAGATGAGCAGAAATAGTAATACTTTCAAATCTGACTCTTAATAAAATAGTTGTTTGTCTTCAAACTAACAATATTTTTTTATATTTAATTTTATTTAATAGGTATTTCATTTTAAAATATATGTAAAGTAATTTATTCATTAGAAGCACTTTTGAAAAAAAAATATAATGATTATATTATGAAACATTAAAAATATCTTATATTTTTTAATATTTAATCTCTAAAAAACTTATATTTTTGAACATAGGGAGTATGCTTTGCATATATATATCTGTGTGTGTGTGTGTGTGTGTGTGTGTGTAAATGTAAGAAAGTTGCTAGAACATCTCTAGTGTCATTTTAATTTTTCCCCTTCTTTGTTATCAATTCATTGCATGTCTGATAATTATAATGAATTCAATGGTTTGAAACTTAAATTAAAATGTTCTATTCTACATTCTGGAAGAGATATTATGCTAAAATTTTGGACCCGTTGGGTTTTGAAGTCAGACAAATTAAAGTCCTTTTGAAATGAAATTTCATTTGAGACCTTTGATTTAGATTTAGATTTTCTTTAAAAGGTTAATTCCTAACTACTTTTCAAACCATAGTTAATTGTGCTTTTTAAAAATTTAAAAATAATCCTCGTTACTTTTTTTTTGTTTTGAAAAAAAAACAATTTATTTTTTAAAAAGTAAAACCATAACAACCAAAAGGCCCTTGGTTAATTTAAAAAAGGTTAATAGATATCATAAATTTTAAATTATTACGTAAGTAATACCTTAGACCTTAAATTTTTAAAATGTAAAACAACTTTCTTTAACTTTTAAATTTTGAACCCCTGAAATTTTGTATTAAATTAGAAAAAATGATTGTTATTTTTAAGAGGTAAGATGAGTGACTTATCAATGTGCGACTAGGTTCATAACAATAAAAATAATGATTATTTTTTAACTTGATGGTAAGATTTTAGGCATTTAAAAATTAAAAACTGAAAAAAAATGTATACATTTTAAGAATTTAAAATTTAAAATATTATTTGTTTGATATAGTTTAGGAACCGATGCCCTTTAACTTTATTTAAAAAAGAAAAAGAAAAAACAGAGATACATGAAAAGCAAACGGACAACTTGAACAAAGACCCGGACAAAAGACAAGACTACGAAAGAAACGAGGCTCCAACAAAGACACCAAAATTCAACAAACAACACGTGCAACAAGGAGAAGCCTGAGACATCTTTGGAAAGCGTCAGCAGGGGGAAAGATTTGTGAAGCAGCACCACCAGCCAGTCGTCATCTGCTACAGAGCTCCGCCAGCAAACTGGAGTGTTAGGATTTGACGTATTGCAGCAATTCATGAAGAAGCCACGGTCAGAGAAAAAAGCTCATCAGCTATAACAAGTCGAAGATAACTTACAGAAACAAATCAACTATAAAACCGTATCAGGAAAATTCCGAATTGGGGTACAAATATCTATTGTTTTTTAGACTTACCGTAGGTGCCTTCCACGTGTCTCAACCCTGTCTCTGTCAAACGAATCGTAATCACATCACCAGGCTGTGACCCAGGGAAGAACGAGGATAGGAAAATATCATTGCGTTAGATTTTACTTTTTTTTTTCGGGGGGCAAATATCCACTAAACTGAATTAATAGATGCACTGCATTATTCTAAATTGCAGGACAAGTTAAAATAATATTGCGTATATAAGTAAAATATAATAATAATATTTTTCAAATTTATTTTTTAAAAAATAAAAATATAAACTTTTAAAAATATCATTTATTTAACTTTATACATTTAATTCTACATGTGCTATACTTATTTCAATTCTTGTTCCACTTAAAGAGTAATATTAAAAAAGTATTATTAATAAAATTTTATTTTTTATTAAATTATCTTATATCTTGAGATAATAAAATGCTTGTAAAATTATCTTATAATTTGAAATTGAGATTATGATTATTCATTAGAAGTAGTTAATTAAATGTGAAAACTTGTTATCAGGAAAAAATAATAAAAAGGGAAAAATACATTTTTTGGTCGAAAGGGAAAAATACATTTGAGTCAATTAAATTAAATATTTTTTTCGTCCCACTCACATTCATAAATCATATACGATAATAAACTAATGGGGGGAAGCATACTCGAATGATCAATTAAAATAGAATTAATACTCATATCTTTTAAAGTCTAGATATCTGTATAAATCAATAAAAGTCCAGACATGTCTTCAAAAAAATAAATAAATACGCTGATTTGCTCATTCGAAAAACTTTGCATGACAACTATGATTTTTTTATTTATAATTTTTTGTCTATGAAATATAAGAATATCTTAAATTTTGATGTGTCCTGATTTTCAGAACCTTAATACAGTCTTGACTGTGTCTTTTCATTCAAAAAAAAAAAAAAAAGTCCACGCATCTGCCACCACGAAAGACGGAAGTTATGAAGCGAGAACATCAATGAATCATTCTTGAAAAAGTTTAAAATCTGATACCATTTTGGACAGAATGCATGCTGTTAAAACTTAAATTCACTTGTTAATTATTATTTTTTTCAACCCAAAACACCAACCATTTTCCTTTGGCTAATCTTGATTTAAAATATAAACAATTTGGTATATATAATTTTTTTTCATTTTATTTTTTTATTTATTAACTTAAATATTTGTGTAGATGTATCTCTCATTCATAAACTATATTGGTAATTAAAATTAAGGATAAAAAAATTACGTATTTTTATAAAAATGAGTGCTTTATTGATATATAAATTTTGTTTAAAAACTATTTATATTTTGAATGAAAGGCAATAATATTTAGTTGTTAAAAGTTCTCGCCACGTATGAAAATCTTTCAAGGTGGTTGATTGATATTCTCCCAACCATAAAATTCTTTTATATGGTCAAAGTGCTGTTTGCGGATCTTGAATTGAACGGTGATGAATGGATAGAATAGAATTTGGTGCCCTCAAGTCCAAGGAGCTTCACAATCCATTCTTTGAGCAGAGATCCTCTCAATTAAAATTTCTACTTTTCAGTTTCAAAAGTGTAAGCAACTTTCATGATTATCAGAAGGTATCTGGGCAGTCTCTAATTTTTTATACAATATTGGAATTCCCTTTGAAAGTTGTACAAGGTCCGTTTAATTAAACCAAAAAAAAACTTGCCATGCTCATTATTATTTGTAGATTTAAACTATATACCACAATTCAAATTGGAAATCTGATAAGGTAAATGGTAGCTCATATATTGTTCAAATATAAAAAGAAAATAGTTAAATACAAAGGAGGAGAAGTGCAGGGGAATCCTAAAAAAAATTGGAACATTTTTTATGCAATGTGATTTTCTTGTTCTGTTGGTAAAAGCATACTATTGAAAGTCAACTCAATCCAACCAGTTGAACCAATACTTTATCTGATAATTTTTTTTAGGCCAAAATACTTTATCTGATTTAATGAAGTAATTTATTTGTCCAGGTTTGACCATAATTTAACCACCATTTTGGTTATCGATTTTTAAACCAATATTTTGATCGTTATAATGACAGGAAGGTACAGTAAATAAAGAATTAGAGTGTGTGTGTTCTGATTGGTCCAGACTTCCCTTTTTCCAAGCATTTGTTGGTTCCATTTTCTGACTTTTCCCATAAAGATCGTCACCGTCCTCATCCCTCTGCGAAAACACTAAAATCTTTCTTCCGCAGCTCCGACTCTTCCTCTTTTCTCTGCTTTCTTTGGTCCGTGCGCCATTTCCCTCTCCCGTTTTTCTCTCTTAGTTTATGTTTTGTCAACTCTTGATGATTTCTATTACAATTGTGTTCCTTAATCATCTCACTTTTGTTCATGTTTTTCACTTCTGATATCTGCACTTCTCTGTTTCTTCTTTGGCTTGAAAATATCTCAGTCAAACCAGTTATGTTCCTAATATTATTTTCTCATTCTTCAGGTTTTTCTCTTTTTCTGGCGTGCTTCTAAAACACCAATTCAACCTTTAGACTTTTTTCTCATTGGATTCACAGCTGGGCTGTTGAATTTTTCTTCTTTGTTTCAGTGGGTCTATCTGTTGTTCCTTCATGAAAGCTTGGCTTTGCTCTGTTTCTCTCCCTCTGTTCTTCAGATTCGATTGAACACCGAATCAACATTTCACTACACAGGGGGTTTGTCTTGCATTGCAATTCTGCAACCTGTTTCTTAGAGCTAATAATCTTTCTGAGTTATTGAGATGGATGATTGAATTTATTCCAGTTTTTCTGGTCTCTAGAATTTTACCTCATCTTTGTCGGTATGCTCTGTATTGATGTTTTGAAATGATTAATATTTTCTGAAGTTGAGGATCATCTACCTTTAGAGGCAAATTTGATCGTCTAAACAGTACTCTACTCGAAAAATTTCTTCTTTCCTGGTGCATCCTTTTGGATTCTTTCAATCATCAAAGCATAGCTCTGGGCTATAACGTCTATTTCAATTTGCTCTGTTTAGGACCATCTAACTAGCTTGGAACTAAAAATTCTGCATTTCATTTATCCGTTTAAGATCAAATAATCCTTAATTGAAAATCCAAATAGCATTTCAGTCTGAAAAGTGTCCATCTTTCTTGACGACTCTTTCTGGGTTTAGCCATTCGTGAAAGCTTAACCCTACTGACTCTGTTTTCTCTGCATCAAATCAGCTTGAAATGGCGATAAAGACGATGGAACTGTTGAAAGGAGGAGGGGTGACAGGGGAGGAGATAATGGAGGTTCTGGCGACGGTGGCTGCGGAGTTGGGTGACTCCATAGAAGAGGCAGAGGAGACGATGCAGGTTATACCGCTGAAGGGAGCGATGACGAACGAGGTGTTTCAGATCAAGTGGTGGTCCCAAAACGACTGCGTATTGAGGAGAGTGTTGGTGCGGCTGTACGGAAGAGGAGTAGAGATTTTCTTCAACCGAGAGGAAGAGATCAGGACGTTTCAGTGCGTGGCGGAGCGCGGCCAGGGCCCCCGGCTTCTCGCCCGCTTCGCCGCCGGCAGAGTTGAAGAGTTCATCAACGCCACTGTATGTATCCAGTATACCACACTTTTCTTACCTCTACAGTTATATTCATATTGCTGGTGTTACTGGCTACTAGTTTATTTATGTTTTAATATGTTTCATATAAAATTGAATAATTTTACTTTAACTCTTTTTAAATGATAAAATGAATATTGAAATTAAACACAATTGAAGTTTCAATTTTTCGCTAAATTATTTTTCAATTGTAATACATAAATTATTTATTTTTATTTTCGAATATAAGTTTTATCAATAAATTTATGACAGTTAAGTTTTTAACAAAATTTTTAAAAAAATAATTATAAATATTAATTTAAATAGTAATAAATTTAAGAGTTATAATTATAAATAATACATTTAAAATATAAATATAATTGTTACTTTATGGCTAAGTTTTTTATTTTCAACATTTCAATTAATATTTATAATTTATTTTTATAAAAAATTGGTAAAAAATTAATTGTCACAAGTTCTCTATTACAGGACTTTATTGTCATTCTCCCACTTCTACATTCTATACCTTTCATTAAACATAGAGTCAGTGCTATTAATTCATGAGAATTTATGTTATATAAATAACCCATATTTAGTTATTGGGAGAATTTTAATAAAAAATCATTGTAGAGAATTAATTTTAGGTGGATTTAAAAAAATTAAAATTTCAGTTTAGTCCAAAGAAAAAAATTAAAAGATTTTTTATTATAAAATGATTAAAATATCCTTCACTTATTATACAAAATTATTAATTATTAATTTTCTTACTCTACTTGTTAATTTAAGAATATGAGTTGCAAATTATATGAGTTGACATGTCAATAATTATATAAGACTTGACATCAGTTTTTCAATCAAAAGCAGCAGCATCAATTATTAAATTATTAATTTTACTTATTAATTTACTCATATCAATTATAAATTATTGATAAGTCTTGTAATTTACTAACATCAATTGTAAATTATTGATAGGTCTTATAATTTATAAGTAATGTTGGTAAATTAAGAAATAAAGGTAACAATTTAATAACTAATGTTAATGATTTATTGACAAACAGATATAATTTACAATTAATATTGATAAATTAATAAGTGCGGTAAGAAAATTAATTAGTGATCTTGCGTAACAAGTTAAGGATATTTTAATCTCTTCACTATTGATATTCTTTTGATTTTTCTCTCTTAGCATAAACTAAAATTTTAGAATTTTTTTGGACCCATATCAAATTAATTTTTTATAGTGGTCCTTAATTAAAATTCTCCTTTAGTTATTTATATTAATTTAATGGATTATATATTCTTATTAGATATTTGGATCTGCACATAAAATAAATTAAGGATGGGCAAATGATTCAAGGCCAGATGGGATATGAATTTCGTTGTCTGAATTTTTGTTGAAAGGTCTGATTGGTTCCCCTTTTTGTTTTCGTCTCCGCTTTTGACCTTTTTGTTTATCTTTGAAAACTTTTTTTTCCCTCCTCTTTCTCCTCTTTATAATTAGCTTCAAGAAAAATGCTAAACACTAAAGTGAGAGAATGCATATCCAAAGTGATGATTAAATTCATGCGTTTAAGAGCTTTGGCGAATATATGCTCTACTAATGAGTGACTCCCTTTTTCCTTTCAAGGACTGAAGGGTTGGAATTGCCAGATACTGAAAATTAGATTTAAAAAAGATTTTTTTTTAAATTTTTTTGGAGTAAACAAACGAATTGCCATTTTAATAAAGTTTAAAAGCTCTATATAATTAATCTGATTGATATACATCTTTTTAATAAATTCAAGTGAATTTTGACGTGTGAATAGAACAATTTGTAGTCAGCAACTTGCATATTTACCATAAAGTCATTTCAAACTCTTTTAAGATTTGAATGATTAGAGGGTGTGGTGGAATCATGTCTCTTTCTCACAAAAGATGTTACATTGATCCGGAACTGAATTTTCTAACTAAGAAAGCTGATAAAATGATAGAATTTTGGCCACACACATGGAAGTTGTAACAAAATGGTAACTCAAATAATGTTATCTAAAGACGGCACATCACGTCGTATATTCTCACCAACTAAATGTATATAACGAAATGCTTAGTAAATAAATTAATTGGACTTTTTATGTTGATTAGACATTATCAGCAGCTGACATCCGTGATCCAGAAATATCTGCTCTCATTGCATCGAAGATGAGAGAGTTTCATAAGCTTCGTATGCCTGGTGACCGAAAAGTCCAGATTTGGCACAAACTTAGATAATTGATTTCTAAACTATAAATAGAGAGAGAAAAATAGACGTATGAGTATTATATATACTCCTCTGTTAGAAAGATATAAATGATTTTTATATTTGACTTTATTTAATAAAATATTTCATTTAAAAATAAAAAATTAAATAATTTATTTATTAAAGATATTTTAAAAAAACTCATTAATTATATATTTAAAAGTTAAAATTGTCTTATATTTTTTAACATCTAACATTAAAAAAATATTTTATATTTTTAAAAAAATTAAAATTGTCTGTTTAATTTTTATTCTCATTTTGTATTTTTAAAAATTGTTTTGCAATACAAGTTTTAGAATTGCTTTTCAAAACAAAGTAAAATAAAAATTTGTTTAGCTGTATTAATTTAAAAATAATCTTAAAATTAAAAAATAAGCTAATAATGATGATGGTTGGTGGTTAATGATAATGGTTTATGATAGAATTTTGTTAAACTAAGTATATTTCCTATAATCAAATTTAGTGTGATCACAACATTTTTGAAAACAATTAAATTAAAAACATTTATTTAAGTTTTTAATTTTTTTTTATTTTTAAAATCCGAGAACAATTTTTGAAAACAGAAATCAAACATGCCTAAAGTCCCTTGTTTTTTCTTTCTCCATTTATTTGGCCCTAAACTCAGGGAGAAACCTCTTTTCACATAGACACCATGAAAAATCCGGATGATTAATGAATGAAATGAAAATATTGAGTGTTAATTTGGAGATTTATTGATACGCTAGGAAATGGCTTAATTTGGCAAAAAGTTTAAGTAGCACAAAGGACGCAAAGAATTTTGGGTTGGAGGAAATGGATGAAGAAATAAACAAGCTAGAGAATCTGATATCTGATTCTGAAGGACATCAAGAGATTGGTTTTTGTCACAATGACCTCCAATATGGTAACATTATGATGGACAAAGACTTCAGAAGCATCACCATCATTGTAAGTAATCAAACGTTACAAAAATTGTTCATGTCCTAATAAAAATTTGTAATTATAAATATTATGTTACCATGCTTACCAGTTCTGTTATTCATGACATAGGATTATGAATATGCAAGTTACAATCCCATAGCATATGACCTAGCAAACCATTTCTGTGAAATGACAGCAGATTATCACTCTGACACGCCTCATCTTCTTGACTACACTAAATATCCAGGTGAATCCATTATTCCTACCTTTATTATTATTGTTGTTGGATAATATCACATGAATTTCACTTTCGAGATTAACATGACAGATCTTGAAGAGCGTCAAGGGTTTGTGAAGATTTATCTCAGTGCTGAAGGTTAGTGAGTCCACTCATCAAACCTCATCTTCATTTTCTGCACTCTGTTACTTAGGGTATAAAAAGTAGAACTGCATGTAGGCAAGAAGCCAAGCAATGCAGAAGTGGAGCAATTAGTGAACAATTCAGAGAAGTACACCCTCGCAAATCACCTGTTTTGGGGATTATGGGGACTTATTTCTGTAAGTTTCATTTTTACTCTCTATGTTTTTATATATGAGGAAAAAAAAAACTGCATCATACAATTTAAAAAACTTTGTTAACCATAATAATTATGTCTGAAAAATAAAAAAATTAGACTAAAATACCCTATGTTAATTAATATAAGCATGCATTAATTATTTCTCATTAATATATATTATGAGGGACGATTTAAAAAATGTGTAATAAATATTTATTGAAATATATGATTTTGCTTATATAAAAAAATAAGTAAAAGATAATAATTTTTCCTATAAATATAAATAGAGGGAGTATTTCTTAAAATTAATCACTATGCTATGCGAATATAATTGAAGAGCTGAAGAATTAATCAATTATTCTCACATGCAATTGCAGAGTTATGTCAACAAGATTGACTTTGACTACAAGGAGTATGCAAGGCAGAGGTTTCAGCAGTACTGGCTTAAAAAGCTTACTTTATTGGAACGGTGAAGTTGAGCCTAGCATGCATTTCATCATGAATATGATATTTTAAGGCAAGATTTGTAGTGTAAATCATGTCAGTAAGTAATAATTGTGTTGTGGATTTTGATAATTTTTACTAATAACTGCCTTTCAATCCCTCTGTTTTGGGAATGAGCTAGAGAATTTGTAGTAATGTCATTTTTTCTTTCTCTTTTATCTAGCATCCACATGCATTAATTGATCATGTGCAGGTGTTAGGATTACTTATCAATTTTTTATGCGTTTAAATTTGTCATTTAAACCTTCCATTACTCTCAAACTGAATAAATTTACACTACTTAGATATAATTAGATTTCAATTTAGATTAGATTTAGATTTACAACAAAGAAAAATGTACAAAAAACTATATTAAATTAAAATTCATTTAAATATCTAGCGAATTCTCATGAGAGGGGGAAAAAAAATTCACGAAACCATTAACATAGAGTTGAGAAATGAGTAATCCATCCACATGCTATATATAAAGTAATTTGAAATTAGAAGTGAATTGCACAAAATTGAAGTAAACAACAACAACAACAAGCCTTTATCTCACTAGGTAGAGTCGGCTACATAAATTGTAAGACGTCATTGTGCTCTATCATTTATCAATTGCACAAAATTGAAGTATAAAGACTAAATTAAAAATGTATATAAACCTGTGAATTGAAAGAATCATGGCAACAACCGGTGAATTGAACCAGTCAATTTTAGTCTTATCAATTCCAAGCACACACAATGCAGGGTATAATGAGTCAAGAAAAAATAAGAATATATCCTATGGGAAAAAGATCAATTTTTTCATAGAACCTAGAACTACAAGAAATATCCAAAGCCTCTCGGGATCCAAAACAAGAATTCAAATTTTATGAATTACCGAATGTGACTAAAAGTAATTGGAACCGAAAAGTGGTTTTTAATTTAAACACTTCTGCTAGAATCAGCTACCTCTGTATCCTCATCAACTCATGCAAAGAAAACCAAGAACACCTAATAACCACAAAATATCAGTGGGATTCTATGAAAAGAAACTATCGCGTATCAGTTTTCATGGTGGGGAGAGAGTGGCTACGGCGTTCTTTTCCTCCTGGCTTTGAAGAGGCATTGCCGTACCAGATCATTCCAGCAACAGCTATTATCATCCCCAATACCACCTGCAGATTCAGACCCTCCTTTCCAAAGAAGAAGAACCCCAGAATCAAAACAAGAATTGTCTTCATGTGACCTAGAACTTGGAAAGAAACTGCGGTAAATCGGCCGATGCAGATGAATTGGCTGAGATTGGTCCCAACTGCAATACTGCATGACAGGAATATGAAAATCTGCCAAAACCAGCACATAAAAGAGATGGTTAGTGAACATTGAGCAATTGGCAACCAATATTAGACAATGGCAAAGAGCAAGTTATGTTCAGTATAATGGAAATAAACATGTGAATGAAAATGACATTGATTCTCGTGCTAAAAAAATGAAAAGGAATTAGAGTCAATGAATGACAACGAAGGTATTATAAACATTGCAGCGAAAAAGAATTCTCATTTTTTTCTGCACTCATATTCCACTTCCGGTTTCTGCAGCTATTTATTGAGGGGTTGTGAAGCATGCGGGAAGAAACTAGAAGCACACGCATCTCTGAAATTCGCATATACGTCCTCTCATCTTCACATAACAAATATTGAATGTAACTAAATATGTAAGATGGCTTTTGAGCCAGTACTTACCACAGAGCCAATGCTATAATCATATCTGTCTACTCTTTTGTTCGTCAAAAAATAATCTAGTAAAGGGCCCACTAACAATAGTGATGCTGCTTGTGCAGGCGCTGTATGCCCCAGAAGGTTGAAAGAACTCAATGAATACTTCCGTTGAAGAAAATGAACGTACTGCACATAAGATATTTGAGATTCCATGAGTCGTGAAGACGTGAACAGTAAATATACAAGTTAAGACCCAGACTTCTCAGACCATTTAGCGTCAGTCGTCACCAATTTGAAACATCATGAGCTTCTTTGTTACAGAACTGTACATTTATTACGACATAGCAGAATATTGTAGTATATAATGCAATATGAGCCAGAAATTGGTGCGTGAAACTACTTTCTGAGTTAATATTGCTGCTATATTTAGACAGAGATCATATTGCACAGATTTGTTGGTCTCTCGTTTTTTTCCCTTCCTTTGCTCTTCCATGTAAATTGGTGCATGGATCTGTTTATGAGTTGATTCCAACAATAAGGTTTCAAGTTTCAACAGATACAATCCAAGTCATGTAATGTACTGCTTACATATTGTTGCAGAGCAGTGCTCCATACTGCTATAAAGGCAGCGATGAATCCTTTTGCATTAACGCTCACATCCGTAACAGTGCAAACACCAACACCCAAAAGAACAAGACATATGCTTAGTTTTGTGTCTCTTGAGTAGCGAATCTTGTCAAAGACAACTTCCAATAAGCAGGATACAGGAATCATGCTCAACTTTGCAATCTGCCAATGGTCAAAAATTATAAATAACTGCCACACATGAATGGACCACTAGCTAAAACACAGGCCAACTCACTTGATAAAATCCAACTGAGTTCCACATAAGACTAACGTTCATTCCAACAATGGAGAAGTTAGCAAAGAGAACAAATTTCAGAAGATCAGGGGGTGGTAAATGAGAGGCTTGGACATATCCCAGACACCTTAGTATGGTCGTCATCAAAGTTGTAGTGACAAAGTGCATCCCTGTTAATGTTGTAGCTGCAGATGGTATAGGCAATTAAAAGAAAATAATTTAATATATAGGCATGCCAATGCATTAACCAAGAAACAGAATAATAGATCAACAAAAGGAATGTCATAGAAAAAAGAAATTTACCAAAACTGAAGCCATAAGAGGCCATCAGGGCTTTGTTTACTATGATTATTCCAACGGAAGTGACAACATTGAACATCCATGCAGCTGCATCAACTGCTGCCTTCTTATCAGCCTTAGTGGGTGGAGCCATGTTCTTTTTGTTTCTCACAACTTGCTACTGGTCTATTCTAACAGCCGCCATAACATTCAATCCACATTCTTATGATGATCCAGTCTTGAGAACCAACCCACTTAGCCGAATGCAATCTAAAATAGATGAAGATGGTCATGAGATTTGCACATTTAAGATAAATTGGAATATATGGAGAATCGGGCTATTTAATCACTTTAAAACACTAGCATTAAATAACTGATATCAACAGTCTCTGTCAAAGCAATTATTATCTGAATTCATCTTATGGCCATCAAAAGGGTCAGAATCCATATTAAGATATGTGAATTCAACAATGAACCACTGGTAATGTTTTTTATTGATAAGTTTTGAGTTTTGAAATGATTAATCAATGCTTTGAAATCTAGCATCTCCCTCATTCTTTCCTCTTATTTGTGGAAAGTGTCCACAATAGTCAAAATTTTGCCCACTGATAAAATATGAATTATTAAGGATTAAAGCTCACGCTACAGAATGAAAAATTCACAAGCCTAAAATACTGTCAAGAAATAAAACACTTTATACTCTTAATTTAAGAATTTAACAGGCCAATACCAACCCTTAAGAGATTTTTCCCTAGCAACACACTCTCATTTTCTCATCTGTCAGTCACCCTACCCTCTGTAAATCAAATAAAAAGCAATCCACAATTGCAAATGCACACTCTCCCATTTTCTCATCTACCAGTCACTCTACCCTCTGTAAATCAAATCAAAAGCAGTCAACAATTGCAAATGCACACACACTATTGATGATCCGTGATGTGAGTTCCACACTCACTTTTGCTAACCACATTTACATGCAATCACCAGCCACTACAACACAACTAGAGCTGCAATTCAAAGACCATGGTAAAATTCTACTTCTATATAAGATCCTTTCACTGATATCCTCAAATATTTTTACCACCATTAAACAAGTTTAGCCATGAATTGACCAACTTCAAATTATAAAAGAATAAAGAGATGTATGGGCTAGTTATCTCCAAAATCATATTGTAACTTCTTTAAAAATTAGTCCGCAAAGCAAGGCTTGAGTGGCCTACAATTCAGGCCATCATCGTACTTCTAAAACAATTAATTGAATATTCAACAAGCATCGAATGAGACTTCGTTGTCTGCTATAAAGCTGTTTCAGCAAGGAACCAACAGATCTAAAAAATTATATGGTGAATCCCTTACTCATTCCTCATTAATTGCAACTACTAATGTTATATTGAATTCGACTGAGAAACAATGGAACGAAAGATCACTGAACCAAATAGATCGCAGACCAAAAACACTCATCATATAACCACATTTCTTTGTCATTCTACCGCAAACAGCCCCCTGAGCGATGCATCATTTTAGTTTGTAAGCTGCACAACAAAGGGAAAACGAGGGCAGCACACACCACACGTTTGAATGAAATGCCAATACCAATTAGAATTTGGATTCATTGAGAAAGAAAGATTCTGGATTTACTAAACGATCGCGTTTGGAAGCAACCATGTGTCCAACTCGATCCATTATACCAACCGAAACCATTCCAAATTCATTAAACTCCAAGATACCTTTAAGTTTTAAGAGTCCAAAGCTGATTCCATAAGGATTTGAAAAGGCAAAACAACTCTAAGCTCAATGTAAACAAAACTCTAATCCAACTTTATTTTTCACATCCATCAGAGAGAGATCCAAAAAGGGTTCTCAGATCCAGAAGGGTAACATTGAGACGTAGTGGGAAATGACGAGATCCGCGTGCTGTTTTACTCCTAATTACAAAGATTTTTTTTTCCCAAACAAAAGGGAAGAGACGAGATTCAATTCAGAACGTCGTGAATTACCAACCTTGAACTGATTATGATATGATGAGAGAACAGATACTTGCCGTGAACGGAATTCCCGAGTGAAAATGCCGCCGGCGGGATCTCCGGGAGTGTTGCAGCCGTTGGGAAGCGGGAGGAATGGAGAAAGAGAAGCTTTACGGGGTGTTGAGTGGAAGTTCGAGTTTTCATTTTATATGATATGATGCTCCTGCAACTTAACATGTTTATTTGATTTTGTTATTCATACCCATCTATATATTTGGGGGAAAATCATAATTTATTTGGCCAAGAAGAAAGCAATGATTTGATCCTTATAATGTATTATATATACAAGTTTTTAATTGGATTTCCTATTCCTATAGGTTTAAATCTGTTAAATCACTCCTCATAATTTGTATCATTAAGCAACTTGGTTTTTATACTTTTCCAACGTTTTCAATCAAG